AGAGAGAGAGAGAGAATTGAGATTTATCCATCATTAAATCATAAGTAAACAATCAAAACAGTGACTTTTCTTTTATTACTTCAAATAGTGAAGAAATTTACATGCATTGAGACAAATATCTAGGTTTTAATTGTGTATAGCAAAGATAATTGTCATTAAACATATTATGTTGTTACTTACATTAAATATTCTAGACATAGCCATATAGCTCACTCACTAGATGTATTATGGGTGTGCCTTGATTAGTATAGGCGAAGCTTTAAGTTAAGCTTAAGATTTGAGCCTTTTGGGAGCCATCTTACAAGCTTAATGATCTCATCAGCTTAGGTACCAGGTACTTTGTGAAGAGTGTCTGATTATTAGCTTTAAATGTGATCCATGGCTCCATACAACTTGTATGGAATAGACCTTGCCAAAATAACACTAGTAGTAGATAACTCATATTCACCTTGTAGACCTCTTGGGAATTTTAGAGTATGATAATTGGGTTCTCGCTAAATTATAAAGTTCCTCATGGGTGATGTAGAATGTTTAAAAGCCCTAAATTACCTCCTTGAGGGTAATATAGGATTCTAAAAGCATGATAAAAAATTGTATAAAGCTGTTGTACCAATAGAGCTTAAAATTGCTCAGCCGCAATTGAAATGTGTTCAACCACACAAGAGTCATAATAAGTATGGGTTTATCAGTAGAATAGTTTATTGTCTCTTTGATTTACTTAATATATTATTGTTAACTTATTCATATACTTATAGAGATACTCACCACAAACCCAATGTTTTCAATAATCCCTTTCTTAATTAATCTTTTTGAGTCATAAGATTCATTTGATGAACCTTATTTGGTTGAAGTAGATTTATTTACTAATTTGTTAGATAAAATATTAAGAAATCGAGCAAATCGACTATGTTAATATCATCAAGAGAATGGGAGATAAGAGGACCAAAGGAATTGGCTATACTGACATGATAAATAAGAACTTCCAGAAGAGGTTAATGTTGCTAGTACCATAATGTTAGACTTATTCAACACTTGTGTGATATGTTCATTGTCATGAATGGAAGGGGTTTGTTAAACTGTGCCACAGTTTTCACTAGTCTCTTTGGATTTCCTTCAAAGGCTGTCAAAAGTCTATATGAACAAGGGTTGCTTTTCATATTCAAGAGGATCAAATTATGCAACCACAAAATAGCCACAGCATGTATGCTTGGAATGGTAAATGCAATAAATATAAGCAAGCACATGCCAAGTTTCTGTGGGTTAATAATGGAAAATATAATGTCTATTCTTGCCTGCTATCAGACATCAGAAGAATTTTCTGGCTGTGGTGCAGTGTGGAACATAAAATGACAAGGAACATAGCATGACCAACCTCAAAGATAGTTTCCTGAATGAGTTAGCATACCACAAGTTGTGAATAGAGTTGGAGCAGATGTTACATGGACTGAGGCCTCTGTCAAGAATCAGTGTGCTTAGAAATATGGGACACAAGGACCTTCAGGAATTGGGGCATACACAAGGGTATTCCTTATCATATAGACATGAATGTAAACCTATTTTCTCACAATGAATGTGATCGATTTGCATCTGAATATGTGGACATTCCTAATGATAACATAAACAATTTCTAATAATTGCATGAGACCATGGAGCTTGCGCAAAACTTTGTGGCAGAAAAATGGGATGTTGAGTTCTTGAGATCATATTTGCCTAAAATTACTAGTTGGCAATGCAGTGAAAAAAATCCTCTCAAAAAAAGGAATTCTTTATGATAAAGCACATAATAGAAAGCCTTGGAAGCACCAAGGATGCATGACATATTGCAGTATCTTTTCTCCTTAAATCTTTAAATGAATCTATATGCATTCAAGGCACAGACATTGTGTACTCATCAATACTCATTTTTAATTCCTTATAATTGCTTCACATATCACTTGCTAGTAGTCGCTTCCATGTTTGAATCCAGATTTATGTTGACGCACTACTCCAAGATTATGTAGGAATAATACCTGAGCATTGCCTTCTGAAGGAAATCCAGTGTTGGTAGTATCACTACATGCTTTCTTGTACCTCTCGATACTTTCCTTCACACTGCATTCACAATTTTGCTGTTAACAGTTATGACATACGCTGAGATGACAATTAGCATAGCAGGTGAACCCAATATTCCAGCAAAATACTTGTTGAGCAACCTCATGTGTAAACTTCTATCAATAATACTTATTAATGATTTCAGAGGTCACCATGCATCAACAGTGTCAGCAATGGTGAATGCACTTTTAACTTGTCTTTCATAATTTCTGATATAATCCGTCAAACTTGGTAATTGCAAGTTGATTCAAATCTTGAGAAGTTACAAGTGTTGAGAAGTTGATTCACTATAGCTGCAAAATACATGTATTGCTGACTCATGATGATTGTTGCCTACTTATGAAGATAAACCTTAAAGTAGACAAACCTAAAACAACAATTACGAATGCTTGCCGTTTCCTTTTTAACAAAGAAAAAAACATGCTAATTCACATAAATCTTTTCGACGCTTCTTTATCACGCAAGAACTGGTACCAAGAAACACTTGGATTATATTACGACAAAACACAGATAAAATCTGACAAAGACAAATATCTTCAAAATGGCTTACAGCAATTTATGTGGCCTTAATATTACTTTTCTTTGCTTAGAATTTGTGAGTGTGTGTCACTTTAAACATTGTGAACTTGAGGCCTACTTATGCATGGTTTCATAGCAAAATATTTGGTTTTGTCACCTGAATATGACACATGCAACATATCCTGGAGTAAGTTTAAACAAAATGAGTCAAAAATAAATAAAAATTTGAACCATTTGGAAGATTTTTCTTGATGATATAAACATAGTAGCTAGAAAATATAGGAAAAATGATTATCAGGTAAAATAAACTAAAGTTTCTTCTCCTTATCAGGTAACTCGTTCGTTCTTTAAATTATCAGAAACTCCTAAAACATTTGTATATCCACTTTCTCAATTAGTTCTCTGCATGTAGAATCTTAAACAAAGTTGCTTATAGTTTTTGTAACCAATGCAGGTTGTTGATATTTATCTAAGATCACAACCGGTGAAAGGAAAATGGGTTTGAGAGTGTCTGGGATTTCAGAAAGGAAAGTGAAATTTGATTCATCAATGAGGCACAAGATGAGAGGAAAATCCTGCAACTGGATTAGCAATTTCAGTAGAAAGATGTTCTAAGAAAAGCATTTGAAGTTGGCAAAAAGGTTCTCCAATGAGAATGTTCTTTATTTGCACAACATTATGCTTCTTGTCTTATCACCTTTTAATATCATTATTGAGGATTATATGACATGATAAAAGTTACATGGGTTAAATGTTGAGTTCTATGAACAAAATCACATTCTGGCACAAAGTTCTTTGATGAACGAGCACTCTGTTTCCACAAAGTGTTGCCTCATTCTCATCTATTCATGAATGAGCTAATGCTTGTTCTGATCTTTATGCATATAGAAGCCAAAAAGACACATCTTAACATCTTATGTGCAAAAAGAGCAGTCAGAATATATATTACCTACCGTTCAGCAGTAACCCTCTTCAGAAGCATTGATATCAATCTCCAAAACATCTTTTCCCAAGTTCTAACTCACACTCCACCATTAAACGCGGAGGTAACAAAGCAACCCAATAGAACCATGGCAACCAGACAGACAACCACATAAAATACTCCACTGCAGCAGTGTGCCCGCTGGAGAAGGCAGGCAAACCATGGAGAAGACGTCAGCCCAAATGCTGCTGCTGCTGCTCCTATTCCCGAAGTCCCATCTTTTACTCCTTACACCGGCATCGTCTCCAACCTTAGTTTCCTCGAGGATCCCATTGGTCCGTCCCGCCACGTCGGCACGCGATCCCACGATATGATTGGCCACTTGCCTCCCCACATATGGGTGGGCCCACGTGGTCTGCCTTTCTACCCTCGGTGCAATTTACCTTGTTCGCCTCTTTTACACACGCCTCGGTCTTCCAAGTCTCTCCCTCCCTGTGGGCTTCTTGTGAGCTCTGAGACCTCTTCTTTCCTTCCCTTGCTTTTTATGCTCCCCATGCAAAGCCAGCGCACAGTACATTCACCCCATTGGCTCGTCAGTCTTCTGCAACCTCCCCCGTACTCGCCTTCCCCTCTCTCTCGGCCGCTAAAGTTGTCTTCACGCTGTTCTCTCGTTTGCTGTTCCTTGGAATATAATCTAAATCTATTACGAGAGGGTAGAACAGGAAAGGCAATGTTGCAAGAACCCTAACTCGGTCGAGAGGAACCGGATGTAAAGAAGAGCTGTGACGTGTGGGAAGGCCTGTGGTCCTTTTGGTTGAGGAAGGGGCTAATGAGAGCGTGACAGCTCTTGCAGCAGGCTTTCTTGCACTGACAAGTGACGTGAGGAGAGAGATGAGGTGTGGAGGAAGGAGGTAGAGGAGGAGGAGGAGGAGCAGGAGCAGCAGGTGGAATAAAATAAGGGGAGAGAGAGAGAGAGAGAGGGAGAAAAAGAGAGAGGAAATGGCAAAGCTTAGATCTAAAAGGGGGTGGTTGGAGGTGGTCATATACCCCAACGAACACAACACCAATCCGATGCCAAGGCCTCGCCCTTTACTATTCCTACTGCATCTCCTAACTGCTGTGGCTTCCTCAGATCCATGCTTCCACCCAACAAAGCAATGAAAGGGAAGCCACATAGCAGAAAACTCATACACATACAATAGCATCACCCTTAGAGGAAGGAAGAAGCATAAATAGAGAAAGAAGAGGCCCACTGGCCGAGCAAACATAAGCTCAGCTGTCCTAAATCTATCTAAACATCTAACCTGCCCATAACACGGGCTTCCAACTGTTAGATCTACTGCTAACAAATTCAGATCTCGCCTTCACAGACAAGAACCAAAAAAGAAATGGAGATCTAGCTTAGGAGGCTCAGAACTCCTCCCTCCTCCTTTCATGGACCTCCATAGGGAGAAGGCAATATCTAAGACCTGCATGGAAATGTCTGTGCTATGATGTATTGATGAGACCGGCAAGACATAAGAAAACCAAAGAGTTGGTATCACCTGCTGGTTGCGTACTCGTAGAGGCGGCCGCGGCTGGAGAAGACGACGAGCGCGACCTCTGCGTCGCACAGGACGGACAACTCGTAGGCCTTCTTGAGGAGCCCGTTGCGGCGCTTGCAGAACGTCACCTGCCGGTTGGTGGTGTTCTCTATCCGCTTGATCTCTATCTTTCCTCGACCCATCTTCGCCGGCGGCTCCAGTGAGTGTATCGCTTCTTTCCTAGCTTGTCTGAGTGGAAGAATTGGGAGCAGATCAGCCGTATGTTTGTTATGTTACGGACAATGATAACAAATATCTATGCCTTATAGCTGTGCTCTGAGGAGGAAAGGAGTGAGATGAAGCAGAGAGTTTGAGGAGAAAGGGAGCAGAAATTGACTGTCCCTCTTGCCTCAGTATTTAGAGAGATGCATATAAGGAAATATATGGACTACACAACCCAACCCTTCCTTTCTTCCACTTCTGCTTCCTCCTCCTTCCTTCTCTATGACTTCTTTATCTCAATCTATGATCCTATACAGTGGCATCCATTGCCCTCAGTTCCAACTTTCATGGGTAGTATGATGGGTGGAGGCCAGAGAGAGAAAGAGGAAAGAGACTTTGGAGAAAAGCGTCTACTTATGGAGTGTGAATAAGACTTTGGCCTTGAGTTGCACTCAAAATATATGCTGTATAACATAGAGAAGAGTGAGAGGGGCTCCATTGTCCTTTTAGTTCTTACATTTGGTTTCTTCTTCTCTCTCTCTCTCTCTCTCTCTCTCTCTTTCCCTATCATTCAAGATATGGGGTATTTCATCTTTGGTGGTGAGGAATTAATTAGGAACATTGACATCTAACTTCAAGCACTGGCCTGCCTCCTCCCATCTTCCACCTTTACCTTGGACTCCTTGGGTGTTCCGATACAGGAGAAGGCAACTAGGAAGGTGAGAAATTAATCGAGCACCGGACTACATGCCTCCTCCCTTCTTCCATCTTGTCTTTGTCTCATCTTTGTGATTTCTGATACCAGAGATGGCAACCAGGATGTGAGTGCTGCCTTCCAACTCTCCACCAAAAATCTTGCTTTACTTGTTGTGATATTTGGATGGTGAACATTTGGTAGCCTAGTGTTCCACTGGCACCAAGTCATTGACACTGTCACATCAAAAATAGTGCTGCTTGATACCCTTTCCTTCTTGCTGATCCTTTCTTGGATCATTCTAATTGGAGTCCATTTTAATGACCTCCAATCCTTCATAGCTACTACATCATACATATTTTAAGAAGCTCTCAGTGGAGTTTGTACTTTTTGGAGCATTTCGATACTGCGCCATCTTCATGAATTGAAAGCCCCCCATCCATATAACTTTTATATCTTCTCATCTGCTTCCATAACTTCAGAATTCCATTTCATGGCCAAGAGTTTTCAGCATTGCTACCAGGGAAAGACATCTGTTGGCAAAGATCTGCAACATCCTCCAAACAAGTCAAAAAAGGAAAAAGTGCCTGAGGACATCATCAAGAAGGAAATTTCTCATAAGACTTGAAATATGATGATCCTATAGTACCCAGTTTGTGATTTGATAATCTCTTTTCCTTCATGATTTGAGTTATTGGACTAGAGATAATACTGAGAACAGGCATATCAACCATGTGATTTTTCTTATTAGCAGGAAACCAATCTTGAGATATATGGCTGAACAAGGTCATAGTCCTAAAAATGCTCTTCTACCATCAACAAGGACAGCAGTGGAAGAAGAAAGTTGCATTGAAGATGAATGTAGGGTTTTCTTGAAAGGAAAACCAGCAAATGGTGCCACTGGTTCTTAAAATTTATGGCAAACCTTAAATTTGATCCTTGTGTTTCCAATTAAAACTTACCATCAACTAATCATTAGAGAATCTTGTTATACACAATTGAGAACTTTGTGGTAATTAAGGTTGGAATTTGAGGTCCAAATTGTTACTAAGGATCAAGTGGAGAACACAACTATAAAGAAAGCCCTTACACTCCTTCAATTCTCATTGTTCCAAGTCAGGCCATTTCTATAAAGCTCACGCCTGAATCACATCCTATCTTCTTCATCCTACCACCATCTTTCAAAGACAAAATAGCTGCATGTTCCAGACCTAGTTTGGATCAAAATTAACCAAATCGGCGATGAATTATAATTATCAACCAAATCAGTGGTGAAACCTTCCAGCAGAAGAGAAGGTTTGTCCCAATTATAAGGGCTGCAAGGCTTCTCGGCTAGAACTTCGGACAGCACCAGATGACACTATGGGGACAAGTATTGCACTAAATTGTAAGGTAGGTGAAGATTTTGATCTTTTAGGTTTAGATCATTCTATGAGTGGTTTGATGAATCTCACAGGACTACCCCATAGATATTATCTCAACTGGCTGAGACAAACTTATGCTTGTGTAGATTGTTTTTTCTTTTCTTGGATTTGGGTCTCTCATAGTGTTTAGTTAGCTCAAAGAGAGAGAGAGAGAGAGAGAGAGAGAGACTTTGAGGGGACATTAGCCCACCAAGAAGTTGGACTAGTGTCTAATGAGTATCTTCAAGAACTGGGAGCCAATTGATGAGGCTGTGAATCTCCTGATCAAGAACTGAAAATAACTTGAACTGATGTGCAAATTAAATACACAGTCACTGGCTACAAGTCATGAGGCAAACTAGAGAAGACTTGAAAGGTTCCAGGAAGATGCATGGCTCATGCAAGCAGCACATGCTCTCCTGCAACTAATCCGCCGAGCTTGTTTGCCAAACAAGAAAGATCTGCTGCCCCTTTTGCGATTCTCGAATTGTTTCTTGGCCATGATAGCCATGGCCTCACAAGTGCATGTCAAAAATGCTGAGGGAGAAGACTCCCACCTGCAACCCCACACCGAAAGAGAAAGGAAACGAACCAACACTGCAAACACATGCACGGCACCCCCACAAGTCCCTTCACGCCTTGTCTTGCCTTCTCGTCGGGGCCTTCTCCTCCCTGGTGCGCCGTCGCAATCTTAGCCGCGCCTAACGAGCGAGGCAAGAAGCCGACGAGAGCACATGAGACATAGCTGTCGTAGCAGTACCAGCCTTGAACAAGGGGGTTGCACCGGCAACGACTTCCATTTTGCTGTGTTTCACTGTGCTTGTTGCTTTCTTTGTCGAGCTCGTCGATGTGGAGCAGAACTTTGATTTCGCTGATGACACAGTAAGTAAGAAACGCTATTATTGTGGAATGCCTCGTAGTTAAAGACTTGGTAACTATAAATTCTAGTCAAATCAGAGCTTAAATACTGATAGCAAATAAGATTTTCTCAACTATACGAGAAAATATCTTTATTTTGTTGAGTGAAATCTTCTATTCTGTTGAGAAAAATCCTTCCTTCTAATCTATATAAATAGGAGAGGGAGTATTCAAGTTTCTTCAATAAAATTTTTTCAATAATTATATCTTCTATTTTTTTCCAACAAAAACATCGGAGCATATCATGAAAAGCTAAAACTATTGTTCCCCTTCACATTGTAGCATCTGCTACCAAATCTAAAAGAGATATGTGATGCATCTACTACCAAATCTAAAAGAGATATGTGATGCAAAATGTTATCACGATTCCTGAGCACATCTAATCAGTAAAGCTCCTTTCAAGATTCTTAATGAAGTCTATAGAAGGAGCAAAAGGATCTAATTATGCAATCAAAATTGGTTCTCCAATAATATTTTTCCTACTTATCGCAGATTATGGAGAGTTATTTCAGGTTGCTTACACTAATCCATCGAGGATGTGACTGTCTCCACGATCTAGAATGACCAGCTGCTGTTATTGCTGATGGGCCACCTAAAGGTCAAAGGCTTCCAAAGAGTTCTTTGTTGAAAGGCCACATATCCTCTCTTCGTCCTGGAGTTGCGAGATGACTGATCTGCAACAAATAGATCATTTAATACTAATAGAGAGATCCTAATAAATGTTTCCATAAACTCTCTGCTTGACTTTATAAATCCATCCTCTTTCAGGCTTGGTCTCACGAGACATAAGCCAAAAGATTTGCTAGTTCACAATAGTAATAGAAAGAAGCATGAACAAGCACCATAAAGGAAAGGAGAGTAAAGAATGTGCCTCAAAATAAAAGCATCTCCTTTCTCTACAGAGAAAATGCAAATTAAGGTACAAACAATATAAACACAGGATGATGCAGACAAGTATATTACTACTTTGCATAAGAATTAAGCTAACCAGTGGCTTGAAGAAAGCTTCACACCTTTTGGAGGGTACTTGAATTGTTGCTCAGTATCTTCCCTGCGTCTTCATTCTCTTTTCAATAGACTAGATTATTCGTATTACAACATCAATTATTATAAACTGCTACTTGCCTAATAAGATCTAATCACACAAGACATGACCACAGGTGGTTTGGTACGGCGTCACTCCTCATCTCAG